CGTACACCCATGGGCAAATGGGGGACGCTAAATTGACCAATCAGAGCACGCGCTTTACTTTGGTTATGTTATAATACTAATCATTTGTCTTTGATCACAGTTCTCAAAGTAGCTGCTGAAAAATGGTCAGACAGCTGGGGTTTCTGCTGCCATCCACCTTCTCACGACAAACCTGGTTTATTACACAATTGCTATCTCTGGAATACTACTAACAGTAACTGTACATACTCTATTAAAATATATGAATGCCTATCTAAAATACTACAATCCACAGGTAAATAAAATAAAATTTTGATGGATGCAGTGTAACACTGGTGAGAGCACTGATGATTGAAATAATTTCACTAAAATAAAACAATTTAACAGCGGAACCTTGATTTAACGAACCTCTAAATAACAAAGTCCTGGGTATAACAAAATAATGATACTTCAGTTTCAGCCCACCAAAGTTACTGTAAAATGTATGCCAGAGAACCGCGATATAATGAAGCAATTTCCCCAGTTCCTTGGCACTTTGTTAAATTGATGTATCACTGTATATATATATTTGTCTTCATTGCCTCATTAAAATTTAACCATCTCTTACCTCGTCTTTCCTCATCATCCATTTCCATCTTTTCTTTGGCTGCAGCTGCCTAAAGGTAACAGGAAAAAAAAAAAAAAAAGGAAAAAGAAGAAAAAACACAGTACTTTTTAAATTGCAAAGAAATGTAAATGATTTATGCATTATCAAGTATTAATGGTTATTTTACAAGCCAAAGAATGCCCATGGATTTCTTTTGGGTCTGTGAACCCTCAGTCAGGGATCCTCCACTGGTCAGGACACTGTGGGCTGGGTAGAACAAGCAATTTTGTTTTAACATTATTTGATAAAAGGCAGAACAAGTGATGAGATCAGACGCTAAAGATCGAATTGGATTGGACATATAATGAGGAAGAACAGAGAGGAACACTGCATTACAGCATCAGAGTGGAGGCCAGAGGAGAAAAGGAGACCAGGTCGACTAAAAACAACATGGAGGAGAATGATCGAAGATGAAAGACGAATAGCTGTGTGGCAATCATGGACGACTGTTAGAACTTTAGCAACAAACCGAAGTGGATGGAAAGAGAATGTCAAAGCCTTATGTGCCTTATGGCACAAAGAGATATAGAGATTTATAAAAGGCCAGTGTTTACTCAGGGTGACATATACTGACTTATAATTCTTATGGCTTGACAATGGTGACAATGAGTATGTTCCACATGCACTATTCAAACCAGTTGTCCATGTACCTTTTGCCTCTCTATGGTATCAGGATCCCTGTCAATGTATGCAATAAACCACCCTCTCTCTGTTTCATCTACTTTGCAGTGTCCTAATTGAAAAAGAAATAGCAATTACTGTAGAAAGATAAAAATCACTGCAGCAAGTTTAATCAGTTCACATTAAGTTTACCACAACATAAACTTTGTACATCACAGTGAATGGCACATGACTCACCTTCCTTTCCCAGCCACTTTACAAATTCAGTTAGAGTTTCCCACTTATGAAAGGAAAAAAATTAACAGACATTAACATCAGTTAAATCGTACCACAATAAATGATACAACAAGCTGAATTATGAATGCATTTGGTTAGCTTTTTCCTAACATGATCTATACTGTATTAGAGCAATTAGGCTCACAAAAGATGTCACCATTAATGTTTTGCTTCTTTATTATATAAAACAATCAAATACAAGTAGATTCCATGTTGCCTCGGGTGACTGCACAGTACTAGGTCCCAGAAGAAACCAAACTGAGGTAAGAACATCAGCGACACACTCTGCTGAGGCCTTGTTTTGAAAAAAAAGCCAAGCAGGGCTTGACACTAATGGTAGCCCACTAGCCACAGACCAGTTAGCAGAAATTCAGCTTTGGTCAGTGGTTTTGAATTTCCACAAGCCAGTTTGGCTATTTAAGAAACTGAAATTCGTGTAACATCTAAGTTGTCAGTCTAGCCACTTGACCAGTAAGTTAAAAAGTTAGTGTCGAGTCCTGCTGCTCCTCATTTGTCATTTTTTTTTGTTTATAACACATTTGGACATGAGCTCTTACTGAAGAGACGCATGAGAACAAAGAATCCATTTGTTGAATGTTAAATAACACATGCAAGTGTTAAAATGTATCACATCTACATGTAGTACTCAAAGAGAGAATTATAAAATACAAGGCTGTGCTCTAAGAAAAATTGAAGGGAGCCCAGTGCTCTGAAACTGTAAAATTCAGGGTGCCCAGCATATAGCTTTCAATGAAAAAAAAAAAAAAGATTCCTGAGTCATCCAAGAGTAAAAGCAAGGTGCCAGACCAGGGCTAGGGGCCACCAGACACAGCTAGACCACAGCCCTGAAATAATCAATGAATTCCTGATACCAATGAGACAAATGACCGAGTCTAAAAAAAAACTGTGCTCCACCGACCTGAGTTGCATTCATGTGAGTATGCTGCCTGTCACTAATGTAATCCTGATAAACTTGATTAGCCCTCACTCTACGAGTTCCTTAAAAACATATGTTGCAAGAGAAAGAGGCTTAGTTTTTCTGTATTAACTGATGGATCTAGATGGGAGATGGAGGATGAGGGATAGAGGATGACTGCCAGTTCCTCAATTGGACTCGTACATTTATTTCATTTTAAATACCAGTTCTTTGAGACCAAAATTCTTGTGATGATACTTGATTGCATGTTACTTCTCAGTGTTAAGTATTTAGAATCTAATGGTTTTAAAATATTTCACAGGTTGTAGAGGATCCAGAGTAAATAAAAATTTCTGTGCTTTCTGAATAAAAGTTTGGAACACCTCAAACCCCTCCTATAAAAAATTGCTGTAGTCAGCCCTGACGGTCCATGATATTGCATGCTAGTGTATTCAGGACAACCCACAGTGCAGAGTTCTGGTTGTAAAAAATATTAAATGGTGACCCATACAAGCTTTGATAAGAGTTTACTGTGGAGACAAAATTGTATCTTCTATCACTCCTTGCTCTACAATGTCACCCCTATTTCTTTAACCCCTTTACTCCCAGAAGTGATTCACATGTGACATTTCCAATAATATCCATGCATTACCCAGCAAACAACAAAAAATAAGAATACTCAAAGTTATCAAATCTTGACCGTACACCAAATCTTTCTAACTGATTTATAAGGAATTGTGTAGCATCTAGATGTGAGAATTTACAAACAGATCTTGGGAGTTAAAGAGTCAACTGTTAAAAATGTAAATGTCATGACCTGAGATGTTCCAACTTATCTGGTGACCCATTGCTACTAAAGCTAACATTCTCTTATTTACTAACAATGTTTTTTACATCTCTCCCAGTGCCCATGGGAAAAATGAAGTGAATCCTGTGTTCTGATTGGCTACCCTAGAGGGCAAGATGGGCCCATCTTGCTTGCTTAGGATTGCCTGCATTGATCTCGTGCATGGAAAAAATTGAATTAGAACTACTTTCGTAATTCTTGGATAACATTGGCAATGGAAATGCAAAAAGCAGGAGAAGACGGTCAAAACAAAGAAAACAGAAATGACTCCCGTGAGTTTGTCGTGCTACAAACACAGTTGACTTTAAAATCATTTCCGGGCTCTCGAAGTAAACAACTAAGTCTCATTTCTTAATAGAGCAAAATTTTTTTGCAATATTGTAATTCCTTTATCAACCAAGCTGGATATATGCCTCATTCTTTTCTTGCATTCTTTTAGACTTCACATTTGTCTTGATCCATAAAAATGAAAAAAAAGAACTCAGCCAATATCCAGCCATCTTAACCTCACACTTGGTTAATATCATGCTTAATATGATTTTCAATTTATAAGTAACTAACATTACAAATTGTTGTTGGTGATGTGGTTGTCCTTGGGTGAAACAAGGCTGATAGTTTCTAAAGAAACTGTTTGGGGCTGCGTCGGTGGGGGTAACGAAATAATTTGGATATTATCAACAAAGTTTAAATGGTAAATTGGCCACCGTAAAGATTAAAAAAGCTGACGTTTCGAACGTTAGCCCTTTGTCGGAACGAAGGATGAAACACTTTGCTTGGGTGAAACACTTTGCTTGTGATTCAGAGACTTGTTTAGGAATTTTCATCAAGGGTGGAAAGGGTAGGAAGATTAATAACAATAATAATAATACTAATAATAATAATAATAATAATAAATAGATGCTAATAGGGCGCATTTCTAATCTCAATGCACCTAACAACAGATTATTAAGACATATGAATAAGTAATTAATTAACAGTAATGTTTTTTAAACAAAAATGTCTTAAGCCTAGTTTTGAATCTTTCTACTGTTTCCACTCTTTTAATATAATTGGGAATTGAGTTCCATAGTTTCGGTGCAGATACTGAAAAAGCGCATCCACCATAGGAATTGGATTTAATAGGTGGGCTGCATAACTATAAGTGAGTTGATGATCTCAGTGTTCTTGATGGGTGGTATTCTTGTATAATAGGTTCTAAATAACTAGTAGATTGCTCATTTAGGATCTTATAAGTTATAAGTAATATCTTAAAATTAACCCTTGCTTTGATTGGCAGCCAATGTAGATTCTTTAAAATAAGTGTGATATGGTCAGTGTTTCGTGTTTCGGTTATCATACGAGCAGCGAAAGATTAGGAGGAAGTAAGTCCCATCACCTTGAAGTAAGTAAAATGCCATGCCTTGAACAAGAGGAAAGTATAAAATACAGGAAGACCAAATCACATACCAAACTGTCTTTTCAAAAGCTTAAGGAAAGTGTCTTGGAACTCCCTGAAAATTGAAAACAGAAAAATTGTCTTAGTTCTCTAGAAAACCTGCCACAAGTGCTACAGAATAATTTTTTATAGAGAGAGAATTTTCACTTCTAGAGGGGTTATATTACAATACTGCTTTACTAAATGTGACACAACAGTAACAGTTCCAGATGTACATTCTTATCAGTTAACTACAATTTACATTGAACATAAAACTACAATGTTCATTAAACTTATTATAAAAAGGTGCCGAAACATGAAAGAGCTAAGAACATAATATCTCATCACAAAATATCATTGCCTTCCAATTCGAAAAAAAAAAATTCAAAAATTTTGTTATCGCTTCAGAACCTGAATCAAGGCGCTCATGGTAACGGAAGTATTTTCTGCTATTTCTTTTCAAGTACTCTTTGTTTTCCTGTAGTAATTAAAATTTCCTTTTTGATTTTTCGATTGCTTTTAACTTGATAAATACTAAATGCAGACAGTTCGGTACTCTTGTTCTTGCAACTAAAACTATAATACCCAGCCATCGACGATGAATTACAAGGATACCCCCTTTTCTCTCTTGAAAGCCCTAAACATTAACATTTCTGTAAAAGGTGTTGTACATTTTTTCCTAAATCATAATAATCACGGATACAGCACTAGGTTGTTTAACCTATACCTCGAGAAGGTGTCCATGTACTTGTCAACATCTTCTGCCAGTAACAAAAGCTGGCGCTGATGTGATTCCGACATTGTATGGCACTTGAATCCATTCTTTCCCAAGAAAAGTTAAAAGAGAGGTACATGAAAGTTTTGTATTAGTTGACAAACATTAACATCGACTAAAAAAAAAACTCCAGAAAGGAAGCCAGGTTTAGTACCTCATCTCGGCATTGTTTTTGACACATTTGACAATACCATCGCAGCTTCTGCAAACCTTTTGCTTTTATCCTATTCGAGATGGCTTTTGGTGTTAGTGCTCCTGCCTTCTCTTTGCCCATGCTGTGAATTTAAATCTGTAAAATTATTAAAATGACCTTCTCTTTCCGACCTTTAACGTTTATTTCGACGTCCGTCCGCCATGTTACTAAGTTGGACCAACATGCAATGCGTGATGTGTGCCAGACCTCTCACGTCCAAAGCTAGCAGGTAACAACCGATCACATAATTATTGTCTATCATTTTTAATATAACGTTTTTTTTTTGTTTTTTCGTCTAGTTTGGTTCTTGCTTTATTCAGTTGCCTTCTCTACGAAAAATCTTAACTGTCTCAGAAAAATACGGATCTGAAGACGAGGATGAAACTCTAGTTTTGGGTTAGCTGCAAGCGTAGACGAATTTCTGGTTGTCGCTTTTCCGCTCTAAAGCGAAAACCAGAGGTAAGGATATTCGGCTCGCTTGTTCAACAGAATAACTTGTTTGTTCTTCTTTGTTCTTTTTATTTTTTTTTCAATGATACAATTTGACCTTTATTTTACGTCATGGTTTGCAAAAATATTGTTTCACCTTGGTGCTTTTCATCTCAAATATTTGAGCCTATAACAAAATTTTGTAAGCATTAAATTTTCAATTTGAGTTTAAAGCAGCTATTTCAACACAGCTTCAAAATATTTACGTTTTTATTACATAAAAAAAAAATGATCTTTAGTTCATACGGCTTTTTCATCCAAGAAATTGGCTCGAACTTATCGTTTAATCAGGTGTAACTTTCCCACATTTTTCAGTCAAAATTTTCAGTGGCTGTTCTAACCCATAGAGAAACGCGACAAAAGCACCATTGACCTAGAGCTCGGTGCCTAAAGAATCATAGGTCATGCGGTGAGGCCTTATCGCGCGAACTAGACTAAATTGCTTCTTCGCACCAGTTTCCACCGTATCCAAATCCCGTATCAGTTATCTATAATTCTACCAAAAAAAATTTTTGAATATGAAAACCCTATCAAAAACTAACAACTTTGAATTCGAAACGCAGGGAAGACTTCCTTATCGCGCAAGGCAAAGGCCACTTTTATGAGAAAAAAAAAACTAAGTAACGCTGGAATTTCAATTTTTTACCAACTTAAATAGAATACCATGTTTCAATTCACTTTCATTCACATGATTACTTAATGCTGACACCTTAGTTAACACAACTGTACGCGTTATTTTCTGTCCTAGTTTATTCAGAAATGCTACCTGTGCAAACAAAATTTCCAGCAATCGCATAATTCTACCTCGCTTGAATCATTCACAATTAGTAGCCCTTTAGTGGTGCTGGAGTAAAGAGCGAATATTGAAGGATATCAGCCTTTAGAGAAGTCTTAAGCATGCTGCTGGTTTTGTTCTTCATTATTACCTTCCACCAAATTTCTCTCACGCAGAGGTAAGATCTGGAAGCTTTACGAGCAAACTTTCGTGCTCTTTTCGTTTTTTAACTATGCAGGCAGCTAAGGTAATGGCGAGATAAGCAGGAAAGGTGAGTCCTCGCGCGAAGTTCGACGTCTCCCTTCGCACACGACTGACCTTCTGTGTTCGTCTACAGCTTGTAATTCTTTAACTTCATCTTTCAGTGTGAAAGATGCCGATTGGCACAAAGAGTATCATACCCTTGAGGAGGTACGTTATAATTGATTGAACTGTGAAAAAAGAGCAAAGGACGATCTTGGTACTGAATATAGGGCAGCAGTTTTGCTATTTGAATTCTTAAAAATGTTAAAATTTAGCTAATGATTGGCGTATATTTAAGGTGCTGCTGAAGCTCATTTTAGTGTATGAAGAATCATTATTTTAACTTGAAAGCATGAGTTTCTATACGCCACTAAAATAATGGGTTGAGTTTAGCGTTTCTCACTAGCTTGCGCGTCTGATTTCGTTAATAATCAGTCATAACAAGACAACTGAAACCGAATTGAACAACACCCGGTTTGATCACTGTTATAGATAAAAACGAATTAAGTCCTGGTAGCCTCGGAATTAGGAAGAAAAATACACAATGAATCAATGATGCTATTGGCGTGGTCGCCCAGGTTTCCTCACACTCGGTGGCGCTAAAGTGAAAGTACAAGGGGAATACCACACCCTTGGGAGTGCTCCCAGTCTCCGCGCGGCCTTAAGCCCTGGATTTGCATCCCACTGACTTATTTGACTTTCCAAATTTTGTAGATCAACCAGAAGCTACAGGAAATTGACAACACATACGAAAATGCTTTCCTGTTTTCCATCGGCAAGTCTTACCAAAACAGAGATACAAAGGGAATCAAAGTAGGTATCAGAGGACATACAAAATATTTATATTTCAACCACATGATCCTTACGGCCTCCAGCGTGAAAGCCAGTAGAAAACCATAGTGAAAGCTGACGTAAGTTGGGTTGGCCAGTTTGACGTGAGCCGGCCTGGATCAAAAAAGCTGTTTGGCTCTGAAATCACTCGGCTTTGTTGTAAAAACTTAAAGGAAGAAAGGGAAAGAGAAAAAAAAAAAGTCGCTCTTTCTGATAAATTGTGAGTTTCTTGTTCTGACTGAAAAAAAAAAAAAACAAAGGAAATGTTTTTTACTGTAGAATTTTTTTTTTCTTGGTTACTCCGCGTGCGCGCATTTATTGCGTCCTATTAAGATTGAAGCAAAATTTTCAACTCTTAGTGGTCATTTAATAAAATGCTTATTGACCGAGTTTTGTTGGGCTTAAGCAGGAAATATTTGGCTCACGGTCAAGGCACACGGACCTCGTTCCACTCGGTCCGTATGTCATGACTTCGAGCCAAATGTTCTCTCGCACGGCATTCCCACTCGGTCAACAAGTATATAATGTATTTTTATTTGGGGGCATTTCACTTCAATTAGCCCCTCTCTGCTATATATTAGCCCACACATTCCACTTTGTCGAGTGACGATAGCAGTCGGGCTTTGCAGTATTTATGGAGCTCCTTTCATTTGATTGGTGTCACATATATAGTCACATATCAAGAACATTCTGATGAGAACAACCAATCAGATCACAGGAAAAATATAAAACGCAGCCAATGAAACCTTTGGGCTCAGTCTCTGTCTGTAGGTATTTCGCTGCGCCCGCGATCCTCAACATGGAGATGGGACATCTCTCGCTGCCTGAATCGCAATAAAAGGCGTGTGAGAAAGACGTAACTGCTTATCTCTGCATTTGATCAGTTAAGAGCATTACGCAATTTACACGCGATTTCTTCAAAGCCATGCTATTGGCAAAAAGGTCAAACTTAAGGTAACCGATGCTCATTAATAAATGGCTTTTAAAAACTGGTTTTCATTGTACACTTCGTACTGCTCTTCCAGTTTACAGGTGCGTTTAAGGCAGACAAGCCTGTGATATATATCCAGTGCCTGGTGCATGCCAGGGAATGGGTGTCTGGGACGGTGTGCATGTACATTGCTGACATGGTAAGTGAGAAATTATTGTAACAACATGTAGAGCACGCGCAAGATTGTATGGTCAAGTTGGCTAACAACAGTTTTCAAAGGAATGACTTTCATAAATCTCTACTCGTACTTTCTGAGAAATACCGTGGCCTTACAGCTAATGTTGTGGAATTCTGTCATCTCATTGGCCGTTTCAGGATATACATATCAACTCACTGCACTACCTGTGATAAACTTTACACAATCTGAGCCGTTAGAATTGGTGTCTACTCAAAATTAACTTATTCTTTTCTATCTGCTCATTGCCTCTCCGGCTTGAAAATGTATGAATTACGTTACCAGAAATTTTTCGATGGTCACTCCTAAGATTGAAAGGGACATGGGATGCCTCAGGTTAAATCTTTATGTTCTGGGATAAGATATTTTATTCGTGCATCTCTGAGGAAATCTCATCAGTGAAATGTCATGGGAAACCCATTGGACCAGCTAAAAAAAGTAAGAGAACCTTTGAGGGGAAACTGGGAGAGAGTCGTAACAAAGTTCTAACGGAGAAACAGTTCCGAAAATTTGTATAAGCCTCGGTAGCTATATATTACAATGCGACGAAGTACCTCAGCCCCTCGTGGAGATCATTAGAATGTCTGTTAAATTTCACGTAACGAAAACCTCAGGCTAGGGGAGCCTTTCAACAAAATTTCCTTCCTCTTTAGGCTTCATTTCTTTACAGAGGCCTCTGAATAATTCAACAGCAAATTTCAGACAAAGATAAAAACAGTCAGTTCTAAGACCTTATAACACCTTTCGGAATAATGTAATGAAAGACCGCCTACTACCAATATTGAAACATATCGTTGCTACGTATATGTTCATAGATGCAAGCTTTAGTGCTTTAGGCCAACTAGAACGAAGTATTTTAAGTAACGAAAGTTTGGTTCCTTTTAGCTGGCACAAAGCTATGGACAAGACCAAAAAGTTACAGAACTGTTAGATAAAATGGACTTTGTGATTGTGCCGGTGATAAATCCTGATGGATATGTTTACAGTTGGGCCACTAAGGTTGGTTAACCTTAAATGTTCTCCATGAAAGTTGAATAAGCTTTTTCAAGTCCGGTTTTACAATGGTTGCCATATATTGCTTGCGGCTGGACTCCTGATCGTAAGGCCTGGGTCCGAGATATGGCTAGAGTCATTTGATATAATTATGTTCTTACGTTAGGCAGGAGAAAAAATTATGTCAGCGCCTCTCTTCGCGATGGTATCGATGGGTCCTCGTGAACTAGACTACGAGAAGTTCCTAATTTTCGGCGAAAGTCGTCACGCGAGTCAAAAAAGAATCAGTCTCTTGCGACAGACATCCCTGAAAAGAAGGAATGCTCGTAGTCTACTCGCACACTGTCAAAGATAGAGCCACGACGAAATGCTAGCTAGCGATCTGCAATGAACTCGTATTCCGTGCAGGAAATCTGGCAATACTCAAAGCCACTTCAGTGGAAGTCACTTATAGTAACGCAAAAGTAATTAGAAGACGAAGCTCCGATAGTAACAAGCCACTAAACTCGCAAGACGCAGGTATTGAAATCGCGTAGTTCTGAATATCACCACGTGTAATTATTTTGACTGAAGTCTAAAAACCTCCAGGGAGACCTCACCTACAAGTTCAAGTGAAATATTTACGAAGCTTGAAGATGCCTTACCCCCCTCCCACCAAACAACACACAGTTGTCACGTTTCCGAACGACGCCAAGTGCCCCCCCCCCCACGGATGGAGGGGATGCTATTCCATTACAATTACAAAACCGAGGCTAAATCGCAAAGTCATGTTCCAATTCTTGTCTTCCAGGTGACACGATCATGGCGCAAAAACCGTATTCGTTTGGGTATCCGTGGGTCAGAAAAATGCAACTTTGGTGTGGATCTAAACAGAAACTATGGTTACAAATGGGGTTGTTGCATAGGTCGGTTCAAATAAAGGAGTGCTTTCATTATATCGCAAGCATACAAGTAGGAAAACATATAAAGATACGCAGCGTGGTATCTTCAACAGACCACGAGTGGGTCTCAGCTGAATTAGGGCTCGAATCCTTACGAGGTGGCCTATACTTGTTACTTATACAAAAGCTTGGTCATGATAGAGAAATTTGCAAGTGTTGAAAGTAATCCGAGATTTCTCTTGTTTGCTTTATTTCGTTATGTGATTGGACCTCGTTTGAATGACCGACCCATTATGTTCTGAAGAGACATTGTCAATTCGGGATCGGAGTTGAATAGATTCTGTAGTGTAAAATCAATTGTGCGCATTGTCTGATGCAAAGGAACTGTTTGGCTGAAATTATTTTGATATGTTGCATTCAATTCCATTTCTTTAGATCAGTGGCATGATAACCGATGCGAGGATACATGGAAAGGACGGTATCCGTTCTCTCAAAGAGAGACCCAGAACGTCCGGAACTATCTGACCGGTCTGGGTGGAACTTTGAAAGGTTTCATCGACTTCCAAGCCTTCGGGGAGGACTGGTACTACCCGTGGCGGTACACATTTGAGGACACCCCAGATCATCAAGAACAGGTCTGGACACCAAGGGCCGGTTAAAAAAAATTAGCCGTTGTATAACAAAACTGCGTCCTAAACAATCCTCAATTTAGCAAGCCTTTTATCTGAACGTTTACTATTGTAAAAAGTGTTAAGAGAGCCAAAAGAAAACCGTGGAAGGACATTTATTTACTGAACTAAAACAACCCTCTTAAAGGGAATCATTCGGTGTAAGGCCCACTGCCTGTGCGAAACCGCGGTTTGGGTTACACCTCGTGCTAATTAATAACCGGTCTTACGAATTCATAAGTAAAGACTATACGAGTACAAAGATATCTGGGTACCAAACCTTTTAAATGGGGAATGGGGAGGCCACAAAAATATCTGAGGAACGCACCTCTCTTAAGATGCCTATCACGCTGGTCAAACGTAAGAGCATGCGCGAGTGAAGACACTTTTATACGCCGCGCGCTAATTTCCTGCCCCAAATTTGAATCAATGTCAGTGTGTGAAAAGCTGCTCACCCACCCCTCCCAAAATGTAGTCAATTGTTAACAAATCAGGGTTAACGTTGGGTTAGGGGAAGGGTAGGTGCGCAGTTGCTCAGGTACTGGCATTGATTTCAATGGAAAACGTTACAAACAACTGTTATCACGAAAAATATGAAAAATTACAAACAAAAGCAGGGAAAAGGAAAACTCGGAACCTTTTGCACACAAAGCTTATTTAATCACGGGTTTTCTGTTGAATTAATATTTTTTTCTTTATCGAAAAAGTTATACTGTTTTCAAACACTGCGACTCACTTGCTTTAGTCGTTGTCTATAAGAAAAATTGGTTTTGACAGCCACCTAGCCTCTTCAACGGAATGTCAGTCTAGATCTGAAATCTTAAACAGGATGTGTACTTTGGCAGTGCATGGCCTGAAAGCATGGTACATAGTATAGAATGCCGCAAAATTTACTCATCATTTTTTGCATTAGGGTAGAGAGACAAACCGGCAGATTTTTCGTAAACAGTGGCAGGGTTTGGGGGTACGACTGAACAATCACCTCCAAACATCCCTTAGCATTTCCCGTCGGTTTATAAATGCGAAAATAACTTTTCACGCTTTAAATTTTCCAGCGTAGGGTTGCTGTGGAGGCGTCCAAGGCGATATATAAGGTTAACAGAAGAAGAAGCTACACGGTCCATTCTGCAGGAACCCCCGGTGAGCATACTGAATGTTGATTGCTCTTTGCCCAAACCGTCATTCTTTCGCTACGCATTACACAAATAACTGCGCATCACTTCTTTAAAACTCGATTACCGGCCGCTGTTCGGGAACCAGAGCCCGCGCTCCTCCCCGAATTGGAAAGAAAAACATAGGATTCGACAGAGCGGCGGAAATCGAGCCTAGAATGATCGGAGATGGATGATAAGAGGTTTTTCGTATTTTTCTCGTAAAAGGGTTTGATGAATTGAGAGCTAAAATGGTGGATCATGAATGAGATCTTGAAATCTAATGTTTTACATATATTGCAGCTGCGTTCGTGACAAGATTATAAACCATATTTGTCTATTTCTGTACGAGCTAAAAATTTATCCTGTTCTCACACGACTCTACGGACATTGCTGATCTTAGTGGTATCTAGGACGCGTGTCAAATAAGCCCGTAATGGTGTAACTCACCGTAGAGTCTCTGTGACTCGGTGGTAGAGCATCGGTGCGCATGCGCAGATTCTTAAGCCTGAGATTTGATTCGTCACGGGGAATCAGAAGTTTTTCTTTGTCCCACAATTTCCTACAGGTGGGACAGCACTGGCTGGTGGTACAAGCATTGATTGGGTGTATGGACATCTTGGTGTTTTATACACTTACCAAGTCAACTTACCTCGTGGCGGCAGAGATGGATATCATCTCCAAAAATCCAGTCTTTTGAGAAATTCAAAGGAAGTATTTGCGGGTCTCTCGGCAGCTGTCAAAGCAATTAAAGTGTAAAGAGACGCTGGAATAAGAAGCTGCATGTTTTGTCTTTGAGGGAAGGAGACCATAACGTGAGAAATATATGGTCACAAAGTTAAAAATTTACTGCAAAAGAATATCGTCAACCTGTTTTTGTGTCGGATCGCGTATCATAGTAACACCACCCGACCCAAACCACTCTCACTCGTTCTTCTTCTCCTACCGGCGTATCTTGCCAATAAGTGAACGTCTGGACCGAGCTAAAAAACTGTCGAGTATGAAAAATTAGAGCACTGAGAAAATAATGAAAGCTCACCCCTCTAAGATAAAACTGACTGCCTTTACGTGTCACAAAAGATGTACGTATTAAAAAAAAAAAACACATGTAATCACCAACGTGATATTTATTTGTTTGCTGGTGTCGTTTAGCACACACGTTTTACAGCGCTTTCTTGATTCAGAACTAAATTACAACCAAAGCAATTACAGCAGACAATCAAAACAAAGAACACTAAACCAAACAGAACGCAGAATAAATTCATTCGGGTATGTTTTCAGAACGAACAGCAAATTAGAATCTATGCTCGTTATATTATTTTAATCAGGCAGGATTTAAAATGTCCTAAACAAGGAATCTTGGGTAATTTTCAGCCTTAACCCCTGAGGATGATCAACATCTTATTTCTCCTAAGTATCTCTGCTGAGATGAACATCAGCCTCATGAGAATAAGGAAATAATCCCAAACTTAAAATGCTCTTGATTTTTGAACTTAAGTGTCCTTGGGGCCGTTTCTCGAAAATCTCGGTAAATTAACGGACCTGTAGAGTTGTTTGGTTTTCATTCAAGATGGAGATTTCAAAAGTTTTGAAAATGATGCAATAAAACTATCAGCTAAAGAAATAAAAAGTACTGGTTCGGGAGCGAGCCACAAACCTGCTTTCCTATCCCTCAAATTTTGATAATAAAACATGGCTTTAGGCCTGTTAAGTTATCGGGATTTTCGAGAAACGGACGCCTAGTCAGATCTTGTCAATGCCATAGGAAACTTATAAAGAACTGCATGGAGAATGAGCATACTGATATTAGAGTGAAAAGGGCCTACAAAAGAGAAAGAATAAGCTTCCTTAGAGTTTAAATCCTATTCAACACCTTCCGTCTTAGTCGTTACAAAGAATTTTTTTGTTTTGAAACTTCCGACACCACACATTTGTGAGTCCAGCATGCTATGCAAGCGGTTGTAGGGCCGGTCACTTAAACGAAGTCTAACCCAAACTTCCGTTTTACGCATGCAATGGGCGTCAGGTATTCGCTATAAGAAGTTTGAGTTGATTAACATTAAAGTGTCCTTCCACTGTTAGCTTTCGGCCCACTTGTTAAGATAAATGGTTCGGCAAAATTGAAGTTAGTTAAGAGCACAGTTTTGTTAAACAACTGGTAAACTTTCTTCAAGTAACAGCCCCTAGTATTTGAAAAGACGCAAGGTACTTCCCTCGCTGTCCCACAAGTACAACGAATGAAACAACGCTGTCAGTATTGACAATGATATGGTATCGAAAGATGCAGGACAGAACATTTTTAACGTGCACGTGAAAAAACCGAACAATTAAAATACATCCGTGGAAAAAAAATATTTAAATTAAGCCCGATCTATTTTGCAATTCACAAATAGAAATCTCAAAAAGTAAGTGACATATAATGGAAGTTTAACTTAAAAAAAATTTAATCATGAAAAGAGTCAATTGCTTATATTTATGAAATAAACAGCAGTGCTTAACAAGGATTTCCAGCCCTGAGAAGAGCCGTAACTGCACACGTGTAAACTTACGATAATTTTTTTTTTTTGCATGTTCGATATCACCAACCAGCTGCTGACACGTCACTCGCCTCTTGAGCCACTCTGTCAGGTCGATGAATGAATGGCAAAACCTTCACCGCCTTGTTAGTAAAGGCCTATTGTGATTGTATAATATAAAAATAATACATGGTTGGTTGTAGAGGGAATTTCTCATCTCGCGTTCAACTCCTTGGATTCATGCGCTCGCTCGTGTGACTGATGGGTTGAACACTCGAAGATAAATTCCATATCTACGCCCGCCAATGTAATATTCTTTAATTTCAAGAAAACCAGTGATGAAAGGGGAGTATGCAATTTAAGATGAAGCCAATTTATAATTAAATCTCGCTGGATCTCCAGTTTCTTAAGCAGAGATTATAAAGACAAGAGACACTATTCTTTTGGAATTAAATCTTCTTAATTTGTTGGACGGCATGTGAAGTTGACATCTGGATAACTCACCTAATTTCCGTGAGATAAAAGCAAACCAACTCTAAAGAAAAACATTTCTAATGTACTTCTTCGGCCAATTGTGTTCAACCTTAAATAAAAAGTAAAATAAAAGATATTTGCTCTTGTGATTGGCAAAAGTCTTTTTTGTTAACAAACGTTATAAATCAAAAATTAAAAAATATTCACTGCGAAAAGACGAAAAAAGGAAGACGCGTTTATTGCAAAATTATTTGGATTTTCAGTTTTGTGTTGATTAGTGATTTTTCAGATAATGATTTTCAGCACGTGTAGTTTTTTCTTGCTTAGGAAAAGGAATGACTTTTGTAAAACTTTCTCATTAGCAAAAGCAATAACAGAAGCTGACAGTGAAATTAATAATTTGCACTAAGCTTCTGTTGGGTTGCTGACTTAGAGATGATCTTTTAAACAATGAACTCTGCGGGTAAATCATTACCGCCGAAGGAAATTGCACAAATTTTACCAGACTCTTGTCGAGAGTTCCTCTTTCTTATCCTATCTCGTCATTGTTTACGACGAGATTAAAAAGTTCTGGACTCCTAAAACGATAAGGATTAAGAGTGGATCAGAGTGAAAGAAATTTGACCCAAGAGTACTGGGTGAAACACGAGAATTTCAAGATGATTGGATAAGTGATTGTATGTACAAACTGAGGTAAAGTGCTTTGTTTGAAAGTTTAACCTTAAGAAATCTGTGATTGTACTTGTAGTACGTGTACAATCCAAGTTATTTCAACTTTACACCCTTCTTGCTATATATATCGTTTGAATATTTTAGAAATTGTTCTATCAAATTCAAAATCAACTTTATTCGAGGAAAGGTGAATGCATGCGTACAAAAGAAGGTTTATAAGTAAATAGCGGAGAAAGATGACAATTTCCCTCCAAAGGAAAGTTTTCCTCTTTCATCAGCTGTTTGTACAATTTCTCATTATTCAAATCATTCAAGGTCTGCTTCATAAAAGAGGCTGCCGTATACAAAAAAAAAAAAATAAAAATTTAAGTGAATAAATTGATGCGTAAGTAGAGATGAAAAAGGAATAAAATGCTAGTCAAAATTCACGTTTGAATTTTTTTTAGTTATTTTGAATTCGGGTAAACGGTTTTTTTCCGTCATTTTATTCTGAAGACAAGTACAGATAACAGACGATAGTCAATTTCAGTGGATTACTGATATCAAAAATAAGCTTAAAAAGTGAAGAAGGAAGCTTAGCTCAATAACACGCTTCGAGAACTTAAATAGTGCGGCATCTGATCGCGAAATCGAAACTCCTTAATTCGTATTACACGACTCAGATTCTATCTGTTATTTCTTTAATTTTTTTTAGATAGAAGCCAAATATCTTCCCCCAAATTGGCCTTGCAAAAATAGAAAGTGTAAAATTTCTTCAAAATCGGCTGAATCAAGAGAATATAACCTGGCTGTAGAGAGAGTATCAGTGTTAAATAAAAAGGCTTAACGTGCGTCTCATACACAGCAGCATTGCTAAAACGTTAACGAGAATTATCCTGTTCTCTTTAGGATATACGAAAAGTCGTAGAACAAGTGTGACAAGTGTGGAAGCAAAAGCTATGAAAATCACCTTTATTGTGACAACGTTTGGTGGCCTTTTCCTTCTGATTTACCTTGTAAAATGTATTGACTCAGGGAAAGTTTACTCTGGGTAAGTAAAGCATCCTCAACTCGCAGTGCATTGCAAACAAGACTTGCAGTTTTGATGGAGAGTTAAAAAAAAAAAAAAGATTTTTTGGAATAAAACCCTTGGCGCATCCTTTTACCAAATGCTAAGTAAACGTGCCTGTATTGTTACGAAAACCAAACATTATTAGTTTGGTGGGGAAGATAAAAAACATAATAGGAATCAGATATAAAATACGGAAAAAATGAGGATTCGTGTGAAAAAAAAAAGAGTTTCAGGCGTGCTCTAGTCCTCAGTATAGCCAATAAGTTTACAAAGCTCAATTCAAGAGCTGTCAGAAGATCATTGGAAGATGGCTTTTCTCCTCATTCCATGACTTAAATAGCATTATGTTAATAGCATTTAGTTTACAAAGCTCAATTCAAGAGCTGTCAGAAAATCATTGGAAGATGGCTTTTCTCTTCATTCCATGATTTAAATAGCATTATGAAGAGCTAGAAAACTATAATATATATGCAAACCTACTGAAAAAGTATTTGCAACATAGTTATATCACCTTTGTTTGCTTTTTTTTTTCATTTCAAACAGGCACAAAGTTTTGAGAGTTATTCCCCGAACAAAGGCACAGATTAATTTTCTCCGATCACTTCATGACCTTTTCAACAATGAAGCTGTAAGTAAGCGTGCTTGCTGCCCTATTTGACTTAATAGAGCAATTTTCGTTGTGTCTGAAAGTCAACGCTTTTTGTCAGGGGCACGATTAGAAAGCTTTCAGATGGATAGACGGATGGATAGCTTTTGGACCTAGAATGAAATGACGAGGTGCTCCACAAGCACTGGTAATTTCTATGACCAAAATAGTTAAAATGTAATAGCTTTCGGCTATACATCAAAGACTATATAACAGTGCATCTTCCGTTTTTCGAGGTGGATTTTTGGACTCATTCTTCGCTTCGAGGAACACCTGTTGACATTCGTCTCCCTCCAGGACAAGTTTATAGAAACGTAACCTCTTTGTTGAAGGGTCATAACATCAACTTCCAAGTTCAAATATGCGACCTACAGTCTGCTATTAGAATACAAAACTGGAACTGGCGTGACAAACTTGAAGCCTCCTCATGGTTTGAGAAATATCATACCCTGCAAGAGGTAGGTGACACAAAAGGAATGTTGTGCACTACCAATGGGCATATCGTGAACTCCAACGTTTAGCATAGCCATCGAACGTCCCCGATGGTCATTCTCACACAGATTACAGTAGGACAAGAAACACGAACTTCAAACTGACTTTAACAATAACTAGAACACTGACTGAACACTGACTGAACACTGACTGAACACTGACTGAACACTGACTGAACACTGACTCAGAGCAATAATTATCGAAATACACCAGTAACAACATTCAATCTCGTCGCCTGACGAAGACTAGCAGTATAACTATTGAAACATTAACCGAAGAAGGTTGTTTCCAAATGAAATTGAAAAAAAAAAAAAAAGAAAAAACAAACCGATCAGTACAACTGACAGCCTAACTCTACATCGTAAAAAAAAAACTTTTAAGAGCAACATTTTCTATGACACTGAATTTGACTTAAACGATTTACATCCTAGTCAGTTATCAACAACGATTTCCCACAAAGTCCCAAAAAATAGCTAATGCGGGATCGTTCTGAGTAGTTGAAGGAAAATGAACTCACGCCTTATGGAATCGAATTTACCATAAAGGAAAACCTCATACAGCATCTTAGTTTTACCGGGAGGTTACTGAGAGTATCCAATCGTATCGTGGAAGATTTAACAAAGGTATGGACAATGAGAATGGGGGTTTTCCAAAAATAAAATCAGATATAACTTACACTGCACTGTTTATGATATTGTTTTTTTTTCGGTTTTGAGTGACAGAGCTGAATCACGAGCGCTGCGAACCTTTTTCATTCTCTCAAAGTACTGTACTTAAACTTCCTTTCTTTTAAGATTTTTTCTAAACTAGAGGAAACTACTGACAGATATAAGGGGAGAGCACGCATGCTTACATTTGGAAAGTCTTACGAAAGAAGGAAACTGAACGCTGTTGAGGTAAATTGTGACTTAAATAATGATACGTATGATGCACGATCCTTCGCAGTGGATAGCGCTATTTATGCAATAGCGAAAATCAGACCTGAAAAAAAAAATCTTAAATCAAAAATCTTAAATCTTAAATTTTTTTTTTCAGGTCTGATTTTCGCTATTGCATAAATAGCGCTATCTACTGCGAAGGATCGTGCCTCATACGTATTTAATACCGCAGTTCAAAATATATGAACTTCATATATCCATTGTATGAATAATGATACTGGATAATTTATCCTGGGCCCAAGAATAACCATGTCACTAAACTCAGTGAGAAAAAATATCTTAAGTATTGGAAAATAGCTGTGTTCAACACGTATTTCTAACACCGAACATCTTTTCCAACACCGAACATTTTTCAATTCAGGATTGATATTTTTTTACCCATGATCACAAGAGCTGTTTTTACTATATCCTAAATCTACTCTGTTTTCCCTTTGATCGATATTATGTGTCAATTTTTCCACTTACTTCTTTAGATCACATCAACTCTACATATCCCTAAGCCATTGGTGTTCATAAACTGTGGAATTCACGCCAGAGAGTGGGTCTCTCCGGCAACATGCATGTACATCATAGAGCAGGTGAGTCTTATGAGCGGGTGAACTCTAGGTGGTTAAAAGTTTGCTTTTAACCACATGTACACAGATGCTACCTTTTTCATTTCCCTTTCTCTTCACAGCTTACCTCCCAATACCCTGATGACATCACGGTGCGACAAGTGTTGAACAAGGTTGATTTTGTTGTCATGCCTGTTTTTAATGTGGACGGGTACGTTTACTCATGGAAAAAGGTAAGACGAAGCCAGAAAAACAATCACTGCAAGCCGGACCAGTCATTATTTATAGCCTGTGTGGGGGAAGGGGGTCGGCAGAATTTTTTGTAAGGGGGGGATCACATGGTTTCAAAAGGAAAAGGGAGGTATCAGTTGTCGCTAGTAGAGTATGAAGAGAAGATTATAGAAAGTTGCATGACAGGACGGAAAACGCGTGTACTGTAATTACCTCTCGTTGTCCCATACAAAGCCTTAGAAAACTTTTCTAAGGCTTAGTGTGGGACAACAGGAGGTACTTTCAGTGCGCGCATTTTCCGTCCTGTCATGCTCTCAGTGAGGGGGGAAGCCTTATAAGGGGATCAGGTAAATTTTATTGTAACTGGAAAGGGTGTGGATCGAAGTGGCGAGAGCTAATTTTTCAATATATTTGGAGGGTCTCGATGTGGTGATGGCTTTCACAGCTAGTGGATAACATTTTGGCCCGTGAACGGTTAATGCATTTTCACTGTTGTCACCAGAAATGTTTTGTACGGTTAACTTTTGTTATGAATAACGGTTAAAAATTTGCCTATTTTTACGCCTAACGCTGGTCTGTTTTTTGGCCGTTTTAGTGCTAATGGTGAACCCCATTGACACACTTTATTGGTAGTGGTAATGTTATAAAATTTTATAGTCCGTACAAACTCTTAATTTTCTTCTTGAGATGGACTATTGCGGAACCTCTAAGACGCACAAACTGCTCAATCAAATTGCTACTTAGGAGAGGCTAGAAATTCTGGTGCTTACGAAAACTATGTGCAAAAACCGAAGTGAAAGAAGTATATAAATAAAAGATGAAAAATGAATGAGCAAAAGTTGAAAAAAAAAATTAATTTACTTTACCTTTTTATTGCTCAAAGGACCGCATGTGGCGGAAGAGTCGGAGTTTGAGCCCAGGCTCCTCATGTGTTGGAACTGATCTCAACCGAAACTGGGGTTTCCGGTGGGGTGGTACGTATGACCTCTTCTCTTAACTACCAATGAAAATAAATATAGGAGATTGGAAATGAAATCATTAACTTGTGGACAGGAGAACAACAGATGAAGACCAAAAGAACTATCATTTTTGTTACATCTTGCCAAATAAAAAAAGGCAAATTTTAACTTCACTAATTTGGCTCTATCAACTAAGTTGAAATTGTAAATTGGCCACCGTAAAGAGTTAAAAAGCTGACGTTTCAGCGTTAGCCCTTCGCTCTGACGAACCATGCCAAACTTTTATCTCTATATTTAGAACCTGGCGCAAGCAACCACCCCTGCAGTGAAAGTTACCATGGAAACAGTGCGATGTCAGAGAAAGAAGTGCAAGCTGTTGCCAAGTATCTTGAGTCCCTAGGGAGAAGACTGGTGGCTTTTATGGATATTCATTCTTACAGTCAGATCTTAATGTTTCCTTGGGGATATACAAAGACAAAGAGCATCGACAACGAGGAACTGGTAACTAGCTTTGTGTTTTTCTTTTCAAGATGTGCTTCTGAATAAATAGGTTTTAATTTTTTTCTAATTTAAAATCAATTTTAATGTTCGTGTGTGAACTTATAAGAAGTAACAAGGAATTGAACGATTCGAGCAGCAAAAAAAGTGAAGAAAGAAAAAGAGAGGTGGTCTTAGGGAAAAGAAATACGAACGAACAAAAATATTAGTAACTGAGTTGACAAGCGCATGGTCTGACTATCGTGAACTCGACCTTAATCCTTTTTTTGTTAGGCTCCGCGGCTTGTTCGATTAGTACAGAGTAGATGTTGTGCTTTAGGTGTATGTAACATTTTTCATGATTCTGGGCATGGTACTAAGTCGGGTGGATTCAAAGTCACCCTCATTGAGGACACAGAGGTCTAAATGGGAAAGCGCACCGTGGTGTGGATCGAGAGCTCCATGTTCTACCGATCCCTGCCACCGCCTTTGTGTTGTCCTTTCTCACAGGACACTCGCTCAGAGCCTGAAAATAAGTACCATGTAGTGAACTGCCGAGGAAACACGGATGGAATCTTTCTAATTACTGGGGATGGGCAAAGAATTGAAAGTAATTTTGCTGCTATTAATTTTTACAGAATTCCTTTTCAGATGCGAGTAAGTAGGGCTATGGTGGATGCAATCAAAACGAAAGGAGGCGACAACACCAGCTACATATTTGGACAAACATCTGACATCCTGTGTAAGTTAGTGATGACAGAACGATTGAAACAATACTGGGATAATGTCTCTTTTGTTTTACTTCGCTTTGTTATTGGTCCTCAAAACGTGAGTTTCCTTCTTGACCAATCAGATGCAAGGGTTCAAAACTTGATCATATGCGTGTCCTGCGCTTTCATTAGCTAACAGATATTCATTTTGAGCTCTGATTGGCAGCTCACGAAAGTTTCCTTTTACTGATTGGTCATCGTGATAACTTTGGTATCCATACGAGTTCTACAAATTTTAAAGCGTTCTTCTAAAAAGAACGCTGATTTTTTAATTGTTTTTCCTTGTTTTCATAAAAGTTTTATTGAGGTGGCATTACTGAGTTTTCCGAAAAGGAAAAGGGCCTTATTTTGATTCTGAGATAAACTTTTTAGCTGCATCTCAGAGCGAAGCTTTAATTTCTTTAACTTTTTTTACCTTTTGATTCTAATTGTATTTCACTTTACAGGTGATTAGAAAAGTAGTATATATTATTTCTTTTGTAATCATCTTACAGATATCGAGTCAGGAACAACGAAAGATTACCTCTATGGCCATTTAAAGGTAAAATACACATTCTCGATGGAACTCAGGGACACTGGAAGACACGGCTTCCTTCTTCCTGCCAGGCTAATAGTTCCCACAGCAAGAGAAGCTTTTGAAGGAATCAAAGCTTTAGTCTTGAATATGCAATTAAATGTTTGATGACATACCTGAACAGAAACACTAATTAGCTTATCAGGGGATAATTACCATCACGCACGTGATTACGAAAAAACATACAATACAGTATTACTTTGAAAAGAACTTTTCTTTAGGTCACTTTGAATCCGTTCTCGATGAGTTTACATCGTATTTCGTGGTTTATTAGGGTCAGTTTTATCGTTTTTCGTCAAGTTTAGAATTAAATGTCAGTCTTTGAACTAAAGTTACATATTCATGAAGAATTTACGTCCTCGCAAACCGAAGTAAACTTTCCAACCGTTAAAAATCAAAACAAATAGGATTCATCCTCTTTTGGAAATACTTCATCAGGCCAATTGGTCTTGAATATGCAATAAATTGGTTAGCGGCATATTAGGGCATTTAAAAAACAAATCATCACACCGAAATGAACTTTACAACCAAGATAACTTGCCCCTGCTGTTCCATGTATTCATGTTTGGTATGAGTACCGACGCTCAGTCAAAATGTATTTATCAAATAGGCCATTTTACAGTTGTGTACTTAGTTGCCAAGCCTTTGATTCAGAGTGAGGCTAAAGATGACCTTGTTGTGATAGAGACCTGTATCTAGTTAGCATGATAACAAAGAGATTTACACTTGAAAGGCAGCAAGGTTTGTATCATAACAAGGTCACCCCTAGCCTCACTCCCATTCAAAGGCTTGGCAGCCAAGCACACAACTGTAAAATGGACTATTGTCTTCTTCAATCAAAAGAAGATTCCAGCACGTTTGAATTTGTAGAAGGGTATTCTTGTACACCACCCATCAACAACTAAATAAGGAAAATTAGACGCATCTTTGACCATCCGAGCTTGGCTACGTCTATGGATATAAGTCAAGGTTAAATAATGAATTGACAAAGGCCTCCGGCTTGAAAATAACCCCTCGCATTTTTTAAAATCACAAATTATTATAAGTCCACTTTGTTAAGAAGCCTAACTGACACAGGCAGCAGTCAACACAAACCAACGATTTGCAACTCAGTCGGATTCTTCTGAATACGAATGCGTATTCTTTGCACGGCCGTTTGAAGTATGGACCCTTTGTTCTTTTCACTCATCCTTGTGGGACTGGCACATGCACTCGGTGAGTGTGGTCGACAATACATACAAACAAAAAAAATCATATTCACTTACCAAATGTCTTCCCTTTACAAATATTATTCTTCTAAGCAAACGTACAACTGCTACAGCTCTATCTGACCTAAGTTTTTAGAAGATGTTGTTTTTGTCAACTATTTGGCGGCGCCAGCGGTTGAAAAATAATTCTTACCAAAAAATATATCCAAAACGACTCGAATAATACCTTCATTAGCATCTAAGAAGTACTTGTCACCAACATATTATACACTGTTCATTTTGTCCACACTCGTCGATCCTGCGACCTGCGATCTGCCGCCATGATTGTTTTCATTAGAACTAGGTTTAGGCATCCTCGTTCTGCAAGTTCTCTGGTTTCCCGCCAGCTTTTGACAGCAAAATCCAATATGGACGGTGTTAAATTTTGGTTAAAAAAAACGGTATTTCTTTTGACGGGACAAATTCAAAGTGTTTTAAAAGTGTTTTGATTGTTTAAAAATGGAGCCTCTGGTTGTCGCCACCCTTGATGCAGTGTTTCGAAGCAGGTATGAGGTATGGGAATAATTCTCTCGAAGAGAGGTGAACATAAATCATGGAGTGTATCCGTCCCTTATAATAGATCACCGAGTAGATAAGAGTGCAGTTGCCTTATTCTGAGATGACAGCTTTAGACATTGAGAAAGTAAGCTCTGACATGTGCTAACCTTTATTTATTCCTTTTATAAACACAAGTTACACAATTTTATCCGCCTCGAATGATTAAACTCTCATTTCTCTGACCAAGGCTTTTAACCCTTCAAAGGTCTCTTCTCCGGTTGGGATGATTTGATCAGCTGGCAGTAAGAAACCGTGATGACCTGTGTCACGTAACTCCACCGAAAACGAGTAGGTCACGCCAAGCTCTCCGTAGGTCCAATCTTCCGAACCTCCAGATGCAGGATCTGGGGTAAAAATAGTTAGAAAGTAGAGTTTTTCTTTTAATTTCAGGTTATAAGGAGGCTTTTCGAAAGCCCCGAATGATCGCAACGGTCAATATATATACATTTTATGTCCACTACCTTATGTGAGACTTTCACTTCGGGGGGAGACAATCGAGAATGCTCACAAGTAAAGCGCGATAGGAGTCTTTTCCAGAGAGCTTGTCACGCTCCCCTAACTGAGACCTAAGCTCATAATATACATGTGCGTGCGCGAGTTAAAGTACACGTGGTTGGAATTTATTTTTTTAAGGAACCACTTTTGATAGCGTGGTAAAACCAGAACAACCCTGGATTGACTTTAACTCTGAATTGGAAACTGCTTTGAACTGTAGGAAAAAAAGGGAATCGTCCATGTATTTTGAAAAGGAAAATTATCATTTGAGAAATTAAGGGGAGGCGTTCGAAATCAGAAAAAGAAGTACGAAATCAACCAATAGTCCCTTTTATAGTTGTGGGCTTGGTGGCCAAGCCTTTGAACAGGAGTGAGGCTAAGGTTGACCCTGTTGTGATAGAGACCTGTATCTAGTCAGCATGATAACAAAGTAATTTGCATTTGAAAAGCAGCAACATCTCTATCATAACAAGGTCACCCTAAGCCTCACTCCTGTTCAAAGGCTTGGCCACCAAGCCCACAACTGTAAAAAGGACTATTCTTTTAAACTACAAATTGGACGGATGGGTTTGATATCGGATAACACAGTCCGAAATTGTATGAAAACATCAAAAATTGAAGGGAGCTGTCCAGCCTATTGAAACAGATGTTCTGTCTCTGTTCATGTGATTTTCTGACTATTTTTTTTTTAAACTTCCAACTACTTTGTGAAGGAATGGACTTAAGATGAATACAATGTAAATGTTAAGGATAAAAAATCTTTGCTTGATTCTTACACAACAGAGATGCAGATGAGCCATATTTAAATCTTGTGCCGTGTACCCTTCTCAAAGCATCTGAAGCAGCCTTGGCAACTCTCATCTAGCGACAGGAAAGAAAAATCACGTAGTTAATTAAAATATTGAAATGTGCATTTTGAATTGTCAGCAGAACACAGCCAGCTAGTCGATTAGGTGAACCGTTGGGTTTTTATGGGGTTAGTCTTTCTTTCTTTCATTATTTCTTTCTTTCTTTCTTTCTTTCTTTCTTTTTTTCTTTCTTTCTTTCTTTCTTTCTCTCTGTTTTGTTTTGAAGATCTATCTTCTGTCTGTCTCCCTCTCTACCGCTTGTTATTTGAAGTGAGTCAGTTAGTCTGTCAGTCTGTCAAGTCAGTCGTCGGCCAGTCTGTCTTTCTGTCAGTTAGTCGGTCTATCAGTTTGTCAGTCTGCAAGTCTGCAAGTCTGTCAGTCAGTTAATCTGCCAGTCTATCAGTTTGTCAGTCAGTCAGTCAGTCTGTCAGTCATTCGGTCGGTCAGTCTGTCTTCCTATCAGTTGCCCATTCGGCCATTATGTTAGTTTGTCAGTCAGTCAGTCTATCAGTCTGTCAGTCTGTCGGTCTGCAAGTCTAAAATCAGTCAGTTAATCTGCAAGCCTGTCGGTCCGTTGGTCTATAGGTCTGTTTAGCCCAATAGGGCAATCACTTTTTCAGACGTTAGAACTCCGGAGAGGTCCCTTAACCACGTAAAAGCAACCACTTAACAAAAACTTTCGAGATGTATTCTGACTCTAAAGCAATTCTTACGGAGATTATTTATTTATCACTTTTCCAACAAAAAAGCTAATAATATAGAAATCACACGATGAACTTTTCAAACCTGTTCCCAATGGTCCGTTGTTCTTCTGGAAGTGTATCCCCAGGGTATAAACCACATCTGACTGTAGGCATGGAAATCGATAAAACCTTTCAGTTTTCCTTCCAGTCCTTTTAAATAGTTGCGAACGTTTATGGTTTCGATCTCCGAGAAAGGTGTAGAGCCTCTAAAGGTGGTGTCACAAGGCCGGTGACTTGCTCCAGTGCCTGTTATGAATGATTGAAATTGATGATTATTCAGAAATTGCTTGTTATGAAATACAAATGTACTTAGCTTTGATCATCGGCAATCAAAGATCCGCGTTGTATCCATGACAACGTCATCTATGGCAATAGTCAAGTGTCTGCTCTCCAATTCATTACAAGTAATCAGTATAACAACCCATATTAAGATTAAGGTGAAAACAGACAAAATAACGAGACAGCTAACGCAATTCTTTTTTTTACTGGTTAAAAATTTGTTACAAGAACTCACCTCCCCAACCATAACCCCAGTTTCTGTTTAAATCCACGCCATGGCAACGATATGAACGATGGTAACGGCGATTCTTCCTCCAAAGGCGATATCCTCTGTCTCTCTAGAAGAAAGGTGATAATGATGATGATGATGAGGAGGAGGCAGAGGTGGCAGAGGAGGATAATGATGAGAAGAGTGGAAGATGGACGAGAGAGAGGAGAAGAAGGAGAGGGAGGAGATGAAGGGGAGGAGAGAGTAGAGAAGGGAGGTTGATAGGGAGGAGGAGAAAGAGGCTTGATTAAGGAGAAAGACCAAGGGAGTCGAAGAGGGAGTTGGAGGAGAAAAGAGTGGATGGAGCAGAGAGCCAAGACGAGAAGAGGAAGGATGGTACGGAGATGGAGGAGTAGGAGGTGGAGAAGGAGAGGGAGGAAGAGTAAGAATACAGGAGGAGAGCACGCAGAGAAGTAGAAAGATACAGAAGGGGGAAGACAGGGAGTGGGAGAAAGAGGAAGAGAGGGAAGAAGAAGTAAAGGGAGGAGGAGGAGTCAGAGATGAAGAGGTAGGGAGAGGCGGAGAGGAAGGAAGAGAAGGAAGAAGAGAAGAAAAGGAGGAAGGAAAAAAAAAGAAGGACGAAGAGAAACAGATGGAGGATTAGAAAGTTGTTTGCTGAGATCCATGTCGAAATTTACAACCTCTTTATTCATTACAAGATCACTATAATTTATACAGAATGTGGTGCTCGTGCTTATGTGGATTGCATAGTTGTGCGTGCTGTGCGAGTGCGAAGGTGGTAATTACATAGTGTAACAAGAATAGGGAGAATGGTGATGATATTTACGATCCAATAAGAATTTTATAGTTAAATGTTTGGAGTAGACCTTTGGCGAAGTTTTGCATATGAAACAAGAACTATCAATTTTTCATTCCAAAAAATGTTACAAGAAACGATTAGTTTTAGAAGTTGTCATGGAACTTAATCTTTAACTGACCGGGTTTATCCAGGTGTAAGCGTATCCATCAACATTAAGAACTGGCAATATAACGAAATCCATCTTATCTAAAAGGGCCGTCACTGATTGATCTCTTCCATACTTCTGAGTCAGCTAAACAAAACAAAAGAGAATTTACTCCCTTCATTCAGCTTAAGATTTAGTGCGAAATTTAGACTACGAGTAGTCCCTCCTTTTCGGTGAAGTCAGTCGCGCGAGTAAAAAAAAAATATCAATGACAAAAATTGCTGTTAGCACGCTACGGAGAATTCTTCGAGTTAGGCGATGGGCTGCAGGAACTCTATGATGGAGGCGCTCCAACTTTTCCAGTACCTTACTCGTGGAGAGCTTCTACGACGTATCGGCGTCACTTGAAGCATTCTCCGTGGCGTGTTAACAGCAATTTTTTCGTCTTTTTTTTTTTGACTTGCGCAACGAACTTCGCCGAAAAGGGGGGACTGCTTGTAGTTTATGGTAAATTGATCATTTAGTCAAAATCTAGATCAGTGAAAAACAGTTTGAATGATCGTGAGTTAGACGCTTCGTCATATGAAGTTTGGGATCAGTGTCAGTGTCCGACTAGCTGTGCACCCACCCCTCCCCTAACCCAACATTACCCGTCACTTGTTATCAGTTGACTGTTGTTGTGCTAGGGAAGGGGTCGGTGCGCAGTCTCGTGGTTATTGACATCGATACGAAATTTATTGATTACTGTGGTACTGGTAACTAGATCCGGGACCTTCTGAGTATATTGACGAGAGCAGAACACGACATGGTGATTTATATTGACTTTTTGTCCATTACTTTGTGTACCATATACTACAATTACTCTCCGCGGGAGCACTATGGTGCACTGCTCCTTATTGGTGCATTTAATTTGCATCCTCATGTACATCGCCCTATTAACAGCCCGCCAAAACGCACCGATATCAGCTGACCAACGTGTAAAACACACTCAAAGTCATCATCAGACTAAAACTAGCAGAGCAACAGTTGGAACACTGCAAACTTTATCTATTTATTTATTCAGTTATTTTAGTGGCTCTATAATGTGACGCGATTGGTTTCAACGCTCGTCTATGACTATCTAAGTTTAAACACCGTAAAAACATCACAATCTTTAGTAATGGATGGGTGCTTATGCCTTGAGGGGCTTACCTGGTCTATCATGTACATACAGGTTGCCGGAGAGACCCACTCTCTAGCATGTATTCCACACTGAATGAAAAACACCGGCTTGTTATAACGGTACCTTCCTTTTATCTAAAAGAAATAATCAAGAAATATCACGACGAGAATTGCACTCGGTAAGGTTGCTTAGTTCAAGAAAATATTTCCTCGTCATTTTTACTTTTGATTTCATCGTCATAAACAGCTACCTTAACTGTCATTAAACTGTAAATTAAAGTGTCATTGACCGAGGTTGAAAAACACCAAAAGGTGAGGTATAAGCTAAAAAGGACAGTGGAAACCTCAGGATGGAGAGGATTAACACGGTTTGTGTACGGCAACCTCGAAAAACATTAAACTCCATTTCCTCAACAAACCTTTATGGCCCGCATTTGTCTTCCTTCGTGTGACTTTCCCAGAGATAAGACGAATGCCATGCGTCCGCTAAATTCAATCAATTTGGAGTGAATCTGTTGAAAAAAAAAAAAAAAAAAACCCTCGTTAAGCAAATCCTTCAACCTCCTGAGGACTCAACGGAGGACCGCTAATTTTAAATAAAAGCGAGCCACGATATACATCTTATTAACCAAGCGCGAGGGCCGTACTGGGAGAATTTCGGCCCGAGTTCTTGACAGTACGGACCGAGCGCAGCGAGGTCCGTACAAAAAAGACCGAGGGCCGATATTCTTTCAGTACGGTCCCGAGCAAGCTTGGTTAATAAAAGATTTATTATACGACTGAAGTTCAAAGTGACACAAGTGCGGTATCATTCGGGACCATTCGGGACAGTGCCCGGTCCAATACTGAGAGAATATAGTCCTGCAATAGAACATTTTGATTGGTTGATTTTAGTTATTGGGCCTCTGACTGCCCGAGTCGTGTAATAAAGCAACTGTATGGGAGGTCCAGTGACTTTTCTGTAACAATTCTTGAGCATGCGTACCTCTTCAAGGTTGTGATATCTACTGTGCCATCCTCCACTTCTTGCTCCAACCGTTTCAAGTTCCTCTTCTATCAGTTTCTGCACATCATTGATCTGGACTTCAAAATCGATACCATGGTCTTTAAGAATGGAGGAAAGGGTTGGGAGGTCTTTCTCTGAAACCTCGATATCAACTGCTTGGAAAAGATAGCTTGGACTTCTCCAAAAGTCAATCTAGAAGAAACGTATTATATGGCAAAATAACTTTTATCGCGCAGTGACTGATCGATTCTTATGATCTTTCATAGGACAGCCCTGTGAATAACTTCAGCACGAATTAAAAATTGACTTTTTGTTTTGATACACATGATGCATCGATTTAAAAAACTTTACAGGATTAACAGGTCACTCAAAAATAGTCTGAAAGTGGCAAAACTCTCAACGTATATAAAATGAACGAAATATGTACGCTCTGAATTTACTGGTTGCTACGAAAATCATTTCCACGAATCAACTCGCCTGGGTATCAGTTGAAGATCTTCAGTTCTCATGAATGCCTGTGTTTTGCTCAAAGCTCAGCCCTTAACTAATATTTTAAAGTTTTCTGGAAACCTTTTTCTTAATATGAAGTTTAAGCGCTACATGTTACTTATTTACCTCAATATCATCACGCTTGTCCAGTCCGCGCAAAAATGTAAGGTGAGCTTCAACCTGAGGAGTTAGACGGATGACCTTCTCACTGAGGAATTTGAAAAGACAATCGTTCACAGAATCAGGTAAGCTGAATTTGCTCTTTGTCTCTTTATTAAATTATACTATAGATTTTAACTGCTCATGTCGCAAGAAAACTTTGTATCCTTGCAACTCCTATTTTCACTACCTTTTATTGGTTAGGAAGTTTTTAGATGATCTTGTTTCAAAACGAAGTTATAAACTGATAAAAAGAAAACGTTTCTGGGGCTTTCCTTTATTCTCAGTTTTACATTTTTATCACATCAGATTTATGTATCGTTTGGGTTTGGATTGAAACCTGGTAGAAAGTGTTGGGTTGCTCTTCTCCAAAGGGTTAAAGAACTCAATCGCCAAATTTGAATCGTTTACAGAACGTGCAAAAGTTTGTTTGGCGTTGGCTAAATGGTACAAATAGGGCGCAGTCTTTCCTGATGCGAGCCTCCTAGCCGACAATTATTAACAAGTGTTTTCTCTTGAGATTTGGCTTCTCGTTAGGTCTCAGTTTGACTCAAAAAATCATCTTGCCCCTATAGCTCTACTTAGCCTACAAGGGGAGAAAATCAGAAGCCACAGCATCAACGCTCTTCTTAGATTAAATACTACAGTCACAGCTGATTTTAAATATACTGATCATGATGGCGGGGATTACTCACCTCTGCACGAGCAAAGCTTGCTGAAAAATCAAAATCGTCAACGGTATGACCCAGTGCATGGTTCCGAGCGAAATTCAGCGAACTATGAAATTAAATGATCTGTAAATTTTGGTTTCATAAGACAGAATTTGACATTTTGAGATTCTTCTGACACGCATCTGTTTGTAGTTGAAACGATATTGACATATGAAGAGATATTAGCTCTGGAAGAAGCAAACTGTCGAAATTAAACGTAAAAAATTGTTGCAGCTAAACAAACCAACTCATACATTGTTATTCGCGTCGAATTTGAACAAAGTTTCTTTCTGTCGAACACATGTTTTTTCCAGTCATTGCGAAACTCGTAAAGGACGCGTTAATGAGCATGAAACAGAGTTTCTTTAGAGAAATTTCAAAGCTGGAGATGTTTGAAGTAAATACCCTTTCAAGCTGTTTAAACTAGGAATTAATATCTTTGGTTTCACATTCAGCATTTTTATGTCGTCATTTTTTTGTATATGGCGATGTGGCATAGGTTAGTTTGAAGAAGCTTTAACTTTGTTCTTTATTTTTGTACACATGCGAGAGAAAACTTTTTAATTGAGTTTCGTTGCGATGAACTGTACAAATTATTGAAGATAGGGAAAAACTTCAGAGCTGTATTTCTGAAGATCGGGTTAATGACAAACTGTAAAAATATCGCGCACATCTTTTAGGAAAAATTGCTAAATTGAGTAGAAATAACAATGTTTTTCCACTTAATAAAGTTACGTATGGATTGGATTTTGTAACGATCATGCTGCCGATGTATATAAACTCAAGGGATGCTGCAGTGAATATGGAATTTAACTGATGAGTGGACCGACTTCTTGTCTGTCTACGAAACAGACCTGTATTCAAGTCCATATGTAACTTTTTTGAGTAGAAAAACATTGTTATTACCGCTCCATTACTCTTGAACACCATTCTGGATTTATCATTGTGGAACTTACCAGAAGTTATATTTAACAATTGTTCCACGAGCGCGCGTTGGATATGAGATGATAGATAGCCAACGAGGCGCTACGCGCCTCGTTACCCATAATCATCTCATATTCAACAAGTGCGAGTGGAATAACTGTTTTATTAAAAACGCCCCCAAGAAAAAATTATTTTTTTTAGCTACCTTTTGATTTTAAGCTAACGCGTACGCTTACCATATTTGTAGATTATGGTATATTGGCTGATAAACCATAATGGCTAAGCCAATAAAAAGTCTTGAATTGCATTATCCAATGATCTAGTTTTTAATAAATATATATATGTAAAATGGATACATGCGTTACCGGTATCATGACCTCAGTTGAGCCATTTGGTTCCAGTTCACCTCAAAATGCTTTCAGTTTCGTAGGAAAACTTACCGACTCGAAGAAAATCTAGAGTAATCTTTTTGAAAATATATAATGATAGCATTAATACTAAATCCTTTCAGACAGCTCTGATAATGGTTTTTCCTCGCGCTCTGAGCTGTTACGTACCCTAAAAAGGGACCTCCGTTTCGAATGGCCCCTCCCATACAGGCCGATGTTTTCCTTTGAAGTTGATTTAAATTTACGCTCTTCCGCTTATTCCAACAGTCCATGTAAACTCATTTATCTCATGTGCAAATGACGGCCCTTGGACAGTGTCTGAAGACTGAGGGCCATGACGCCACCTTATCTTTACGTAAAAAGTTATGAAACAAAACAAATATCTTCGTTTCTTACTGATGTCTTCACAAATTCCCTTTAGATGATTATAAAACATTCCTTGTGAAAGTTATAAATAGTCATTTTGCATGATTCCGTTTTGTTTACCTGCTATGATTTAATGATCGAACAATTATTTTTCCTTTTTTTTTTCCTTTTTTTTTTTTTTTTTTGCCGCTTTACATTTTTTTAATTTGAAAGTTGTTTTCAGTTGTTAAAAGGAATCTACTGTTAAATAGTACGCTCAGGTTTGAAGACTTTTCCAAGGGTTAAAGAGCTTCACTTGAACCCATTAACTCAATATTCATTCTTTAGCCATAATTTGCATCGATTTTGAGAACCAAAGTTGTTGAAAAGCGTCTCAAAATTAAGAACACTTTAAATACAAGTCAATGAATATCAACGCTTTTAAAACTTTGCTGCTCAGTGTTTTGGAAGCGAGTTCTTCTTAACAACCTATGAAGTTCTTTTTAGGCTTTAAAAGGTCTTCTCGATCGAAAAGGAACGAAAAAACTATTTTCAAAATTTGAAATTGGCCCCTTGATGACAATCAAACTTTTCTTTAATTTAAGCGGGCTTTTCCCTGGGGACGAGTTTTTGATCGCATAAGTCACAAAACACTTACCATCTCGGTGATATATTAATCTCTAGCACATGCTTAATCTTGCACTCTTTGTTCAGATTTCTGACCACAAGTTCAAGGAGCAGAGGATACACAAACAGAGGATTTACAAGGTTGACTGCACATTTAGTAAAAATTAAAGGGAAATTATTACGAGATAGTTTTCCAACTTAGTTCTGAAGCGCTACGATTTTAACGAAAGTGAAGTGAGGAACCAAGGCGGGTTTTTGGAAAGTTGCTTTGTTCTCTACTTACTTAAGAGAATCTTTTTGTCTCCTTTGAATCTTCAATTCAAAACTCTATTGAAAACCATGGAACAACAAAGCATTTATTTTATTCAGTTCAGCTAAAGAAGCTTTGCGGGTGTTCTTGGTCTTATTGCACAAAATCATATTTTTGGAATTTCAAGTTTGAGGGCGCGCAGAATACTGTAAGGTGGTTAATTATTAGCAGGCGTTTAATTTTCGCGCAAGCGGACTTTGCGCGAAATTTAAACACCGCGAAGTCGGAGTTGGCCGGCCGCCATCTTGAATTTATAAGTATGACACCCAAATCCAGTAAACGCAGAATTATAGCTTCTGTTGGAACTTTGCACTGCACG